ACAAATGCATAGCATTTTTCATGAAATAGCACTCTAGTTGCTATACGGGCGGTCGTACGCCCATCATTAATCAATAATAATCATTTTAAAAAGAGAAAGTCAATTCCAGTCTAGTAGGAAATGTTTGAAGCTTTTTATTTCTGCCAGGACCAGTCGTTGGTCATTTCCTGCACGGGCAGGTGTTTTTCCAGGTGTCCGTTCCTGCTCTTGGCCTGCGGTGTTGCGGTTATGTTAGATTTGGGCTCACTTTGAAAACGGTCATCGTTGGATTCTTCCTGAACCGGGCAGCTGAAGGGTTCGTCTGTTCCTCCGCTGCTCCCCAGTGACGTCTGACTGACATACACCACAATGACCTCACCGCTGAAGTTCATCACCTGCCCGCTGGAGATAAAAGTAGTGTTGTTGTTTCCTGTCACCTGACCTGCCAAAAATAGACAACACATCAGAACCAGTCTTAGCGGAAGGTGGCAGAAATAGTCCACTATATTTCCATTAACTAAATATTCATTCCTTTCCTGGAGACAAATTAACACCAGTGTTATTTTAGCATCATTGGTGTACTTTTGCACATTCTGTTAATTATATGGAATTTTATTTTTATATTTTCTGTATTTATTTTCATTTTAGTTTTAGTATTTTTGTTGTTTAGTCATTTTCATTATCTTTTAAATATGTCTATATAGTGTTTATTTTAGGTTTTAGCTATTTAAGTAAATTTTTTAGTTTTCATTTTTAATTTAGTAATTTTGTTGGTTTTTTGTCATATTTATTAGCTTTTTTAGTTATTTTTGTAATTGTTATATTTTGGTTTTCATTTGAAAGTTTTAGTAATTTTGTTTTGTCATTTTTATTAGTTTTTTATGTCTATATTGTTTTCATTAGGTTTTAGTTTTTAGTTATTTTAGTAATTGTTATATTTTTGTTTTCATTTGAAAGTTTTAGTAATTTTGTTTTGTCATTTTTTTATGTCTATATTGTTTTCATTAGGTTTTAGTTTTTAGTTATTTTCGTAATTTTGTATATTTTCTGTTTTCATTTTAGTTATAGTCATTTTGTTTTGGGTTTTCGACATTTTTATTAGTTTTTGTTTTCTTTTAAAATGTCTATATAGTTTTTATTAGGTTTTACTTTTTAGTTATTTTGGAATTTTTTATATTTTCTTTTCTTTTAATGCTTATACAGATTTAGCTTTTAATTATTTTAATTATTTTTATATTTTCTGTTTTCATTTTAGTTAGTTTTAGTAATTTTGTTGATTTTAGTTTTAGTTTTTGTTATAGTTTATTTAGTTTTAGTTATTTTAGTGCTTCAACATTAACTGAACAAAAATGATCAATGTTGATCAAGTAAACTTACTTAAAATTATATATATATATATACACACACTGTATAATATATATGTATACTGTAATGGTTTTAGTTTTAGTTAATAACCATGGAAGACTAAACAAGAACATTTTAAGGCTAAACATTTAGCATATTAATGCAACCAGATGTGTACTTTTCATTCATTCAAGGCTGCTTTGTAGTCTTGCTGAAACACGTGAATACACTCCCCTACTACTTTAGATGTTTAGTGGTCCACATAAATTGTCTACATTACAAACTGGAAGCTAATAATGCCACGTCAGCACTGAATTGGCAAAAAGCTGTTTTTGTGTCAACCTCTGTTGAGCAACAAAACTGCTTCCTTTCCTTCCACTTAAAAATTCAACATGAGAAGATTATATGGTTCCTGTTTTTTCTCTGAATATACACACAAACTATCAATGGCTCATGTTTCACACATCTTTTAGTCATTTTGCCACTGGTCCATAAAGGACCCTACACCCACTCTTTGCGGTGGCTGCCTGCCATATTTTCACAAACACGACTTACTGGAATGCGCATGACCTGAATGTGCTTGTTCTAATTATTACTACAAGACGTGACACTTTATTTTAGTGTTCAGGTTTCTGTGTATTTACATGAGATATTACTGAATAACACTAGTGACCTACATGTGTAAATATTGTGTAATTCCTCTGCGGAGATTAATAACAATAGGATGGCATACAAGTAACACAGACACTGTTAACTAATGTGTTATTAAAATGTAAAGCTTTATTTTGCCAGTACTTATGATTATTTAAAAATGATTAAATTCTTTTAAAAAGATATACACTTCAGTACAAAACTTTTGAGTTTTGAATGTTTTTAAAAGATGTCTCTTATGCTCACCATTAATATTGTGAAATATTGCAATTTAAAATAACTGTTTTCTATATTACATTACATCTGATCTAAATATATTTAATGTAATCTTCAGTGTCACATGATCCTTAAGAAATCATTCTGATATGCTGATTTGCTGCTCAAGAAACATTTCTTATCATTATCAACATTGAATACAATTGTGTTGCTTACTGTGTTTATGGATACAGGATTCTTTGATTAATTGAACATTCAAAAGAATAACATTAATTTAAAATAGATTTCTATTGTAACATTTACTGTCACTTTTAATCGATTTAATGAATCCTTGCATCGTATCCCCCATATAAATACATTTTTATTTATAAATATATAGAGTTCATAGGTTATATTAGATTATATATTTTTTTATATATATTATTTATTTATACAAATATATATATATATATATATATATATATATATATATATACATACAGTATATACACAATTTATAATTAATTTTATTTATATAGTATTTTATTAATAGTAGCTAAAATTATTAGTAAAGAAAGATTCACATTTAATAATGGTTGTTTTCTAGCACTTTTAAAAGTTTACACAGGGATCCACCAGTGTAGAAACGTGATATATGGCCAGAAAACCAGTGCAACACATCAGCCGATACAATGGTGTTTTGCTAGTTTGTTAGCTCGGCCATCTGTTTCATGATTAAAGCACTGAGATGGGAATGATTTCCACACTCTGCATTTTTGACCTGCTATTCTGAGGTCATGACTTTGATCATTTCCAATCTTTCACATCATATCACGCCGTATTTGTCCAATTGAAACAGAATCGCATGACAGTGCTTGTAAATCTGGCTCAAACACATGTGCTAAATGAGTTTAACAGATTTGGGTGTGCTGCACTATGAAGCAACAGCTTCAAATACTTCAGATGCACAGACAGCTTTTCATTCGTTTTGTCACTATTTCTGCATGCGATAATATCTTACCAGATGTGAGAGCGGATTCTGAGCACTGGTTCTGGAAGTCTGCATCGGGGTCGGACAGTTTGCGGTCATCGCTGTGGATCAGTGAAAGGCCCTGGGCATTAGCGCTGACCGACCGCAGAGGTGGAACGGTGGTGGAGTCTATGCTGCAGCAACAAGGTTCGTTCTGTCTATACAGCCCTTCAACCAGACCTCGCTCCCCATAGATGCCTCTCATCTCTGACATGGCTTCTTTGCCAGCAGGGCTGCTGTAGTCCAGACAGAGTTCCTGGGAGCGCTGCAGATCCATGTAATCGCAGGCTGGCAGGACGTCTGACGAGCAGCTCTCACACAGCAGAGGTTCTTTCAGGTCGACGACCTGCACGTTTTCTCCAATGGCGTCTCCTGTCCTGCAGGAGCAGCATGTCGCCAAACCTGTGGCCACCAGCTGACTGCAGTCCTCGTTCTCTCCGACCTCCATGGGCTCCTTCATGGGAAGCGCACAGTTGCAGGAGCTGCCTGACAGAGGAGACACAGTCCCAACTCCGGAGTCCTCGCTGGAGCTGCCTGATGAGGTTTCGGCTCGGTCCTGGTCCTGTTCTTGGTCCGTGGAAGTCGATGTTTCATCAAGAATGGTTAATTGGGTGCTGGGACGTGTGATCAGGGGCTCTGGGGGGGTTAGTTCTTGGCAAATCAGAGGGCGGGTTTGTGGACCGTTGTCACCGTGGTATGAAGTCACAGTTTCCTAAAAGAAGGAAAGCCGGTAACGATAAGTACGATAACTGTATTAATAACTATAAAGTTTTAGCCCTCATAACGCATTTGGGTCCATTCTGACCCAGAAGAGATACATAAAAACTTTTTAAAAAAAATGCACAGATATATTTTAGTAATGAAACAAAACTTTACAAATTCTTTACAACCCTCAAAATACACATCATCGGGTCAGGTTATTTTGGACTCGGCTATGTATGGAGTCCCATTAGTTGTCAAAAATTATTTTTGTAAAATAATATATGAAGATATATTAGTGTCAAAAAACTTTTGTAAAAAGCCTTTTTCCCCATATCTGACACACTTTTGGCACTGAATTTTCTTGATAAACATAAATATGTACACTATTGATGAAGCATTTCAGCATGAAAACTATCAACTTTAATAATTTTTTTCATCTAAAAGTGAACGTTTATACAAATAAAAAATAGTTATTTTGTTTGAAAACTTTTATATATTTTTTTTGGTTTTTGACATTTTGTTAGAAATAAATATGTTGGTTTCATAAATTTGGAGTTATAAATTCAAAGGAATTGAATTAAATTATATTCTTTCCAATGTGGTTAAAACTGGTATTTCTCCGATTATATACTCCGATAAATTTCATACAATGATAAATTCAAATAAATTATCTCATCCATATTGAAAAATTATATATACTTTGCATCATAGTTTTTGCTAAAATAATTTCTCAGTTTTTTTTATTTAAAAAAAGGGGGGTAAATACAGTAAGAACAATGTAATAGAATGATAACATTCTAAACTTAATTTATTTTAAGTTATAACTCATTAATGAGAAGTTGCTGATCAGATACAGTACGGTTTGTTTTAGTTGAAAAGATATTAATTCAAGACTGTTTAATAAAATAACAAATTTATAAAATAACTGTTTTATAAAACATCAATTTAAAATAATGATAAAATAATAAAATAAAAATACTATACAGCTTTTGAATGTATTATGAGGGTTAATAATCATTATAATTGTGTGATAATAGGGCAGTCCACATCACAACTATAACAAAAACAAAACAGAGGAATGATATTGTTGGAATCACTTTCAGAATAATTTTTTCCAGCTGATAAATGATGAAAATGCTTTTTTAAAAAACTTTTAAAATGACAGACAATGTTACTTCTGCGAGTGCTTTAAATACACAGAACATTATAGTCCATTGTTGTGGATGCTAATATAGTTATTGTTGTTGGTGTGCACGTGCTTTAAGTCTCCGTCACTAGGTTTTGGAACAAGGCTACGGTTTTCAGATTTTCTTACTTACCTGTTGATTCCTACTTCCTTTCAGGTTTTGGACGCAAGTGCGTAGATTTACTGTGGTGTCAGAAAATAAGCTTTAATCAACAACATAGACCAGAATCTACCACAAAATGTAGCAAACATACATAACCCTGACCTAAATTTACCTGAGAGGAAGTTCAGCTTATCCTTGCAGCAAAACAAAAAGAGAACAACCAGGGACACCACAATGATGACCGAGAGGATGGCCACCAGCACCCAGGGTGTCATACCTGAGGAGGATGAGGAGGTTTATTCGTCACACCGCTTTGTGAAGCTTCTCAGTTATTCAGATCATCATAGAGGGTCTAGTAAATTGTTTTCTGTGTTGCACAATCACATTTATTGCTCTTGCATGAGTGGCAAAATTTCTTGAGCAACAAAGAAACACATGCAAACTATTCCTACCAAAAATTACAATTCAATTCAATTCAAATGTATTTGTATAGTGCTTTTCACAATACACATTGTTTCAAAGAATTACATTACAAAGCAGAAGTGAATGTGTCCAAGTAATGTTCATTTCACAAATGAACAGTTTAAGATAATAGAATCACTCAGCTAGCTAACACAAATTAATTTTAGGCAGAAGCTCATTAAAGCGATTGTTACATATGTGATAATAATGATTACAATATAGAGAAAATTTGGCAGCTGTGCATGTCGATTCAAGTTGGCAGATTACAGACAATTACGATTACAGACACCAGACATCACATTAAATATGGGTTCCCATTCATTTTGAGTAATTTTTTAATGAATTTTCCATGACTTTTACAGTCATTTGAGACTACTGGATCTTAAGGAATTTTAAATATATACCGGTACATTTACATTTTTAAATATATATTATACATGCATATCTGACTTTTGAATACTGTAAATGAATATTGTGAATGTGTGTGTGTGTGTGAATTCATATATGATTTTGAATACTGTAAATATATATATATATATATATATATATATACACACACACACACACACACACACACATACATATATATATTCACATATATGAATTTGAATACTGTAAATAAATTTATGTACTGTAAATATCAGTAAGAATCCTTTTTTAAATAAAAGTGAGAGTATAGATTCTATAATACTATGGAAGATTTCATGTATCCAAGAAAAAAATATTATAATAGTTTCCACCAAAATATTAAACAGCACATCTGTTTTCAACTTTAATAATAGTAATAAGAATTGTTTCATGAATATTTTTTTATTCTGTATATATTTACTATAGAACTTCTATGACATGACCAGATTTAAAATTCTCTGATATTCTTCTGATATTTTGATCATTTCAATCACTGTATTAAGCTTCAATAGTTCCTCAATACCCGTGCATTTTTTGAGGCCGAACATAAACATTTTAAATAACCTACCAGGAGAATGGACTCCACACACCACATCTGTCTTAGAGCTTCCTGACTGTTTCTCGGTCTTGCCGATAGCTTTACAACTGGAACAGAATTAGATATATCAATACAGGGAATATGCTTTGGAAATATTGTAAGCTTTACAACTGGAATAGAATTATATCAAAAGAGGGCAGCCAAACAGTCTGGTCACTTCTGATCTGATCAGTCCCAATTTTCTCTTCTACGAGGAACCACAAATACAAAGAGCAAAAAGAAAAGGGGCTCTTTCTAGGGGAAGTGGTGGAGAAATTAATCATAATACCACAG